CTTGGAAGAACTGTTCCTCATCTCTGTAAGCTTATGAGAAGAAGAAAAGAACAGAAAATTGACAAATCGATCCACAATTCGTTTCAGTTATAGATGACATAGACAACGTTTAAATGCGATAACGGCAGAAAGGTGGCAACCAAGCCGAAGGCGAGGAAGTGACCAATATCCGTTGTTATTTGTTCTACAATTACAACTGAAAATTGACTCACTTGAATCCTTAAATTGTATCTCAATGGGCCAGTGATCACTCACTTTCTCCGCCTGTAGAAAACAGTAATGCAGTATGTTAATTAACAGTAACATTGCTGAACATCATCAATTCATGAACCACACTGTGCGCAATGTTTAATCGAGAATAACGACTACTTTCAGGGGATGACTTTGGATGTCGGTTTTTAATTATGTAGCAATCTCCTCTCAACAGATGTCTACAGATATCAGCAAACACCATGAAGACGACTTAAACACGACATTGACTCAACGAACTTACTATGGAAAATCGCCTAACGTTATCGACAGATCGAAACTTCTTGTAACCAATACAGCAGTTTTCAATTGCGTTTCGAAACAACAACTAACTATCAGGAGAAAGGTTAAAGTCATCATTAACCAGTGAGAACTCGGTGTAAAAACAGGAAACTTGCTTGAAGCGCGGGAAAACGAGGGTGACCAAGTTGATATTGGTTTTAATTTTGCGTTTGATTGGTCGAGATGGTGGTGCGAGTTTTCTGGACCAATCACAGAGCGAGGTGAAGCAAACCCAAACCAATCCCAGATTAGTTTCGATATTCGATTAAAAAATTGCCAATCAGCTACAAAAACCAGTCTTATGACGCAGTTAAACTCTGGTAGCGAAAATTTCATTGCTATACTCTTGTAATATTTTTCGTTTAGGTTGACGTCAAGGTGTCAGTCACTTTAACAGACAACAGTTCTTTTCAAGACTACTCTCGCCCGAACGATCAGACTACGCGATCAAACAGAGAAGCATTTTGCTCTTCAAGAAGAAGAACAAAATCCTTCATTTAAGGAGAACCCGATGCAGACCTTTCTACGCTGATTTGGTAAACATTTTTAACTTATGGAGTCATCTATAACTCCATCAAAACCTCTTATCGTTGCATAAGAATAATGTACCTCATCTTGACTCAATCCATAAGCATCTTTGTAATTAAACACATAGGCGCTGTCTGGAAAGATTCCTCTGATCATATTATACCCGGCAACTACCATTCTATAAAAAACAAATAGCTATAGGGTCATAACGACGATATTAAATGCTCTTGTACCTCAGAGATGATTATATTTCGTTTACTCTCTGTATAGGATACTTTGACTTTATCAATTGAGTTATAAATTCAAAAAAATCTGACGTCTTGAGCATTAGCCCGTTGTGAGAGTGCTCTGACTAAGGATAAACGCTCGAACAGTGAGCTTTAGAAACTCTATACGGTGGTCAATGCACATTATCAACTCAGTTGATATATGTTGTTAATCACTCCCCCCCCCCCCCCCCCCCCCCCCCCCCCCCCCCAACCACCGAGGCAACACCACATTTTCTTTACAAACATACCACCATTACACTTTGCTTTAATTTTGCAGAACAAAATCTTTGATCTTTTGCGTTCAGTTTTTTAAGATCTTGATCACCTATTTTTCATTGACTTTATCATTGCCATTATCGTTTACATTATTATCATATTATCTTTATTTTTATTAGTAATGTCTTTACCAAATTTACCTGTCATACGGGCAATCGGACTTCGCAACTGTAGTG